TAGATTAGAAGAGTCAAATCTCATATTTATGATACTAGCGTCTCCATCCTAATTCGCTTACCATTGGGTCGTGTACCTAGTGGACAATTGCCAACAATCCTCTTTGGACATAGATGGGATATTATTGTATAGAGGCGAGGGGCGAAATCTTGAGTGGAGAGAGAGAGCGCCTTATCACACTAGATAAAAATATTAGGATACGGCAAAAAGAAGATAAATATCGTACAATCCTCAAAATAGATGATTCGGTGAACAAAACCAATCGTAATATGAAATTCAATATTCAAAATTGTATCTCCGGGAATCCCACTATTTTACGATAGACCGTCGGTGTAATATCCAATCGTTTCTTGACATGCGATTCATCCAATACAAAAGAATCAGGTCTCAGACAACTCTTGGCCATCTCGTTTTTGTGTCCAAGAAAAGCATAGAAACAGAAAGAAACAGCAACCTAGTCTTCATGATGCCCAGGAGTGCCAAAAATGAAAAACATAAGAGACAGCTTTGATAGCTGATGCACACGCATCACGTTCAACCGCCCCAAAAGCTTACGCACTCTCTTTTGTTCGCTAGCTCTAGACATGTTAAATGGGTCTTAAAACCCATTTATGACCCATTTAAAAAATAAATAGATCATAAATGGGTCAATACAACTTTGAAGAGTACATCTTAAATGGATCTTAAAGTTTTAAAGCTTATCATAAATAAGTCTTAATGATTTGAGTGTGGAATTCATTTCTAACCCACTCATTACTAGCTCTTCTAAATGCAACTTGCTCGTGCCTTTCGTTTCAAAGTAGCTTGTCTTTGGCTCATCCATCGCTGCTCCATTTCGGGTTCCATGTACAAATGCGCATGTCCCAGCAAGATCAACTAAGAGACCCGTTTCGGAAAACATGGAGAGGCCATCGTCGCTCATCACATTGTTCATCCTGGTCTCGTCGTGCTTCCCGGCCTTGTCGCATGACGTCCCCGCGGTCTTCGTATTTGGGGACTCGATCTTCGACGTGGGTAACAACCGCTTCAACAGGAACTGCACGGCCCAGGCTGATTTCCCGCCCTACGGGTCGAGCTTCTTCCATCACCCGACGGGGAGTTTCACCAATGGAAGAACCGTCGCAGACTTCATATGTGAGTTCGCTAACTTAAATAATGATTTTGTCAATTTGTTCTTCTATGAGTAAATTTTTAGATTGAGTTGAAAAGAAAATGTGGCAGCTCAATTTCTGGGCATCGAATTCCGGAAGCCATACATGGAGGCACAAAGTGCGGTAATCAATGGGAGCGAGAGGAACTATCCATCAAATGGCATCAACTTTGCTAGTGCTGGGAGTGGTGTTCTAAGAGACACAAACAAGGACATGGTAAAGAAAACATGCCCCGATTTTTTCCGTTAATTCTATGTATAAGCATAGATTTTCCAGTTCATTAGTATGATCTCATGAATTCGATTCTTCATGGTACAAAAATTCATGTCCTAACAAGCAAAAATTGTCGATTTTACGATAGGGAGTGACGCCAATCCAGGATCAGCTACAACAGTCCGGGCCCTAGTAGAGCAAAACAAAGTAGACAAGAAATTGGTCCGACAATCGATCTTCTTCCTCGAGTCCGGATCGAACGATGTGTTTGACTATTTCCTCCCTTTCGACGCCCCGACCCTCGGCCCCAATGCGTGCGTGCAGGCCATGCTCACCGAAGTGGCCCGCTTCATCGGCGAGATCTACAAGCTCGGCGCTCGCAGGATTGCGGTGTTTTTGCTGGGCCCCGTCGGGTGCATCCCTGCTCAAGCACTCTTGCCGGGGGTGCCAGTGGGCCGGTGCTAGGGGAAGATGAATTCGATGGTCGAGAAGTACAACCATGGCTTGGGGAGTTTGGCCAGGGACGTGCCTCTTAAGTACCCCGGCGCCCTTGTGTTTACGGCACGGTGTACGATATTGTTCACCGGATTCGTGCAATCCCCACGCGCTGTGGTACATAACGTCGCTCTTTTATCCCAATCGATCTACTATATGCTGAGAATCAAATTCGTTGCGAAGGTAGTAACGCTCATGTTACAAAGTATGCGCGCAAACTCGCAAGTACTCCCTGTAGCCTGTATATGTGTAGCATGAGCAAAGCATGACCGGCGGTATGAGATATACGAGTGAGCCATTCGTGTCTCGTGTTGTAAGGTCTTTCCGACGTATCGAGCGCATGTTGCGGTGGCAGGACGCTAGGAGGGATGCTGCAGTGCGGCAAAGAAGGCTACAAGATTTGTTCGGGCCCGAAGCGCTTCCTGTTCTGGGATTACTTCCATCTATCGGAGCACACTAATCATCTCATCTCCAAGGCCTTGTGGGGAGGCAAGCGATCTCGGATTCGTCCCATGAATCTGAACACGTTGGCCAACGTTAGCGTCTCTCGCTCGACGAGTTCGAAGAACGTTACAGGATGAACTTCGCATGAACATCCGGTTTCGCTTCAGACTTATGTCATGCTTCTTCCAGCTTTTCTCTATGTTGATGAGGACTTCGATAAAGAATAAAGTGTACTGATCAATACTCATTTTGAGAACGGAAATAAATTGGCTTTTCAAGATTAAATCCTTCCTATTTTGTTCGAGCACTTCAAAATCATCAAGAGGGAGACCGGTTTTCCCCTCCGCTTAGGCTGGTAAACTTGGAAGGTCGTATTGCCCCCGCACTGAAAAGGGATAATGACACAAATAGTCTCTGAACTTTAGAGCAATATGCAATGTAGTCCTTGACCTGTTGATAAATATTCAACCTAGTCCTTAGGCAGTATGAAAGCATCCAATATTATCATTCAATTAATTTAAGTTTAAGGACAATATTGAACATTTTTATATAGTCCATTAGCTAGTTTGAACATGTACCAAAAGTTTAGGGACTACATTGAACAAATTAAAAGTTAAGGAACGATATCGCACATTGAGCTAAAGTTCAGAGACCACATTGCATATTGAGTCAAAGTTCGGGGACCATTAGTGTCATTTTCCCGACTTAAAAGAAGTTTATTTTGAAAAAGGTTGTTAAGTGTCAAAATTGAAAGTATCATCCAACTTTAGAAAGTGGGCAGGTTTAAAACTGATTGGACAATTTCTCCTGATAGAATTTTGATTCACAACTTTGTTTAGAAGTGTCATCCAACTTTAGAAAGTGGGCAGATCCTAGAATTTGATGTTCGTCGTTCGTGGAGTCTTGTCAATTAGTGTATCCAAGTAGTCATTTGATAAGTAACCAGTATCTGCGTTCGCACGAGAATTCTCAATCTTGCATGGATATCGGAATACAAACAGAAAATTATTCCTTTATGATGAGGAAATCTAGTTTAGATAGATAAATTTTGGACTTAAAAGATATCCGCTAATCTAGATCGGATAAGATGCCAGCCACAATTCGGATGGGTGAGCCTAACAACATGGAAATTGTTTGTATGTGGTGGTGGGAGGCGTCGAATGTGTGCTTTAAACATAATCCCAGCACGTCCCTTCCTAAATTAGTTGCCATGTACTTTTTACCTTTCAATGGGGTCAGACCCTTATTCCCTCAGCGTTCGGTGTTGTTTGAATCCCATAAAGGGGCAGGCTGGGATTGTCCATAAGTGTTTTACAGCGATGCTGAATTCTTGTGCAACTTCGTTGGTGGCAAATGACACGAACCCATCCGAGAAATTGCAAGTTACTGAAGGAACATCCAGGGTTGATGCGGTGTGGTTCAGATTAGAGATGAGGTCGGAAGATGGAGTAGACATGTGTTTTCTCCAGGAGCAAGAAGGCCGTGGCTCGAGTCTGCATCAAAGAAAGGATGGCCATTTTGAGCGAGTGTCGAAGGTTGTACTCGGTTTTCACAGAGGATTAGCTTCGCTGGCTTTAGCATTGCTCTTATGTGGCTTTGTATGGAGCTGGGACACAAACAGCATGGGTTCTATTCTCATAGTTGTGGCTGATCGGGTGTCCTTGTCCTTCTCTCTGTGGTGGCTCTAGTTCAAAGCATAATCCAGGAAAGAAAAGCTGATTGGGTGGTCAGTCTTTTTTCTCAGATGAGAGGGAAGATGTAGTGCAAATCAGGCAGAGCCAAAAGTATATGATATGATCTTAGGATTCTCCTTACTTGAGGCTTCGGTGTGTTTGTGACCGATGGAGAGAAGTCTCCTGTTCATGTTAATTACAGTTCATATCTCAATCAAATGCCAAGGTGAAGTCATCCCACCAGGCCTTACAGTTGGTGCTTGAAACTTATTTTCATGAAGCAGAAAGATGCTTATTTCCACATTCTCTTTGGCGACAGTTTACACGTAATTGTTGCATATTCTCAGTCAATCGACCGCATTGGCTAAAAGATGCAAACTGCAGATTTTCTTAATGCATTTTCTGGGCCTTTTTATTCACATGAAATCCTAGTATTATTTTTTTTGTCAAAAACATGAAATCCTAGTATGCTCAGTCATCATTTTCTGAGATGGTCGATCCTCTTGGAGAATGCATGCAGGGTCCAAGGTATCACGGAAAGAGGAGTGTCTTTTTTTCCAGTCAACCTAGCCGAGGGGAGAATTGCAAGGAAATGCTCATGAGCATATGAGCCTTCAAATTTGTCCAGGTCTCACGGGCACCCTGTGATTTCACCATGAAATACACAACAAATCCGTGATTGTCATTGAAGATGAATTTTCACCAGGAGAAAAGCATGCCAATAGATATCTATGAACTTTTGACTAAGCATGGAGAGTAGAAGATGGGTGTAGGAAAGACAGCTCTTCTTGTAGGGAACAAGTTTATAGGATAGATGAATTAAGCAGTCAGTGCAAACCTCTTGAAACCCACAACCCATACACAAAGTATAATGCTGTTGTGAACAAAGGATTGCTTGTGGTAGCAGTATTGCACAAGACGTTTGATTTTGTATTTAAGTAAGAAGTCATAGGATAATTGAAGGTGAATTGACAATTCAGCAAGAAAGTTGTCGATTCTGGGAAAGAGTTGTTGATTCAGGATGTTTGAAGATGAATAGGCTTTTTTCATTTCTTCTTTATTTCACCTTCTCACCTTATTAGAAACAATTACAATACTTGCCTTTATATAGGCTTGTTACACGATTCTTGAGTGACTCATAAATATATTTAATATTCCAAGAAAATAATTCCTAGAAATTTACAAAACATTAACTAGATATAAAAATACAAACAGACTCTTGAAAATAATACTACAATAAACACTCTCTTGAGGGTCGAACAGACGTCGATAATTAGGTAACCGATCGACAACTTTGAAATCAACAGCTTGTTTAGTGAATCGGTAACCTCTTGCTCGGCAAGTTCCAATGAATTTGGTTTAATTACTAACAAGAAGTTCATTCAATAGCTTGTCAAAGTTTATGGACGATGACCCATTTGGATCTGTTGCCTCCTGTGCTTGTTTCTTCCACTCTGTGATTCTTTCCTTCATTTGTTTTCCCTTGTCTCCTGCCATCAATTCCCTCACTAGCCTTTCCACTTCTTCTCTCTTGACCACACCCGATAACTCCAAACCGATCTCCCATTTACTACAAGCGTAAGTGCAGTTTGTCCTTTGGTCAGCAACAGATGGCCAACAAATCATTGGGACTCCTGCGGACACACTCTCGATTATAGAGTTCCATCCACAATGCGTTAAGAACCCTCCGATTGACAAGTGGTTGAGAACTGCCTCCTGTGGACACCAACTTGCAAGCATGCTCCTTCCTTCTATTTCTTCCATGAATTCCCGAGGAAGAACTGCTGAATTCCCACTGACAAGGTTGGGCCTAATTATCCACAAGAATGGATGTTTGCTGTCGGCCAGTCCCATTGCAAACTCGATAAGCTCTTCTCTTGTCAAGACAGCCATGCTGCCGAAATTAACGTATAGAACTGATTTCGGTTCCTTCGAGGCGAGCCATCGGAGACACTCTGTGTCTTCTCTCCACAGATTGCAGTCAATGGATTTCAGGGGGCTCTCTTCCTTCGTTAGTTTGCTTAGAAGTAACGAGAGTGGGCCAATTGCATAGATGCGAGGAAACATCGATGATAGAGCATTAAGCAATTCTGATTCAAGGGCATCAAAGGTATGGAAAATCATTGCTGAGGCTTTATTTGCTCTCTCAGCGGCATCCATACAAAAATTGAACAAAATATCATCTGGATCCCTGCTACGAGGGAATAAGGTTGGCAAGTCCCACAATCTAATGTCCTTCAATCCTGGAATCCAATCAATTACTGTATCCAAATAGCCATTTGTTAAGTGGTTGGTATCTGCATCAAACATGATATTCTTAGTCTTACATGAATATCATATTACGAAATTAAATTCTTTTTTTTTTTACGAGGAAGGCTAGTTTTAGGTCGGTAGACCTCAGGCTCAAAAAATACCCTGGTAACCTAGGACCGGTAAAATACAAGCCAAACCACAGGTGGGTGGGTTCGGAATTGTTGATACCAGATGTTGTGGGTGTTCATACACAAGCCATGCGCATAATCCACACACGTGTCCGCTGCTTAATCACTGAGTCTACTCACGGGTTCAATAAAACTATCTTCCCTGTACCTTTTAATGGTGTGAGACCCTTTTCCCTAAACGTCCGGTATTGTTGGAATCCCATGAAGGCGCAGGCGGGGATTGTCCACAAGTGAATGATAGGGATGCCGAATTCTTGAGCAGCTTCATTGGTGGCAAATGACATGAATCCATCGGAGAAAATGCAAGTGACTGGAGGAACATCTGAGTTTGATGCGGTGTGGTTGAGATTGGAGATGAGATCAGAAAATGGAGCAGACATGTTCTTTCTGAGAGCATCACATAGAGCCAAGGCGTCTTGGCTCGAGTCTGCATCCTTGGGAGGAAGGCCGTCAGTGATGGTCAGGAACTGAAAGCCACGGAAGCCATCGAGGGCTCGAGGTCCCCTCGACTTCAATAAGCGTCGATGGTTATGCTCTGTGTTCACAAAGGATATGTCGAAGCCTTTTGTGTGCAGAAGCTTTGCCAGTTTTAGCATTGCTCCTATGTGGCTTTGGTATGGAGCTGGGACACAAACGGCATGGCTTCTCTTAGCTGTGGCTGATTGGGTGTCCATGTCTCTCTCTCTCTCTCACTCTCTGTCAGTATTTGCGGAAGCGTGTGTGCATACGTGTGAAATATAGCAAGGAACAAAGGCTATATGAGATAAAAGACTTGTATTAGCTGGGAACACAATGGAAGGAGGAGAGGTTTTCCAGCTGGTCTGCTGCAAGTTGGACGTCCACTACGCCCTATCTATAGAAGAGTTTCACCAACTACAAGCACACGCCATCTTGGACTTTTCCAACATCTGACAACACCCACACCCGTAAGTCACTCCATTTCTTGACCGGCGTGGCAACGTGGGTCCACTATTAACCTGTACCCCGCTTTCTCTCCTCTCTCTCTCTCACCTAAACTTTTCTGCCCGCGACCATTACTGTGGCTGATTGGGGTGTCCATGTCTCTCTCTCTCTCTCTCTCTCTCTCTATGGTGACACTCAAAGCAAAACCCAAAGGATAGAAAAGTTGACATGGATGGTCAGTTTTATATTTCATATGAGGGGGAAAGATGTAGCAAATGCCAGGCAGAGCCAAATATTTGCCGGACACCGATTCACTTTCTACTTGTAAGTTCCGTGAGATTTTTATAGAATTATTATCAACTGTTCTGAAAACTTAAGCCGTTAGATAAAATATTAATTTAATATTTAAATATTTTATCATTTTCCCCTCACACTTAGAATATCACATGGTATTGAGCAAGAGATCATGAGTTCAGATCTTTTCCAAGCTCCTATTTATCTCCCCGATTACATATTTTCGCGCTTTCGACTTAGGCCAAAGTCCAGTTACGTGTGAGGGGGAGTGTTCAAGTGATTAAATAATAAACCACGCATTCATCTAACAAGTTCTACACATCTTTACATGTAGCTGCTTTATTCTCCATTTGTTTCGCGGAAAATGAATAATTTAGAAAAATATTTTCTTTAAAATGATCGCGTGTATCTCTTTCATCGTCCACAAAAATATTTAGGCATACATTGTTATTGATAATGAAAATATTTTCATTGACTAATTATTTTAAGCGATACAAGTAATCATTTTTAGAAAAATATTTTCTAAATTATTCATTTTTCGTGAAACAAATAGAACTTTAAGTAACATACATTTCTCAATCACTGTGATCAGTTTATATACAGCCATGCGCTCTTTTGAATGATAAAGAGGAAAACTTCCACATAAGACAAGCGTGAGCGTTGAACTGGATTTTTCCAAAGTAGAATGATTGATAAATGGTTCCTTTTCACTAAATGGTAGATGAAATCTTTAGTTGGTAGATGAAATCTTTAGCTGTTATCACAGTCACAATGCTAAGCTGGCTTTTGAAAACAAATGAAACTGTGAAGAGCAGTCAGCAGACATGTTTTACGACCTGATTTGCCTTTAGAGCCTACCTTTTTGTCTTGTAATGGTTGTCCAGTGATGCATAAGTACTTGCAGCTTTGGACTTCGGTGCGTTTGATAACCATTCTGTTTTCGAAAATAATTTCTGTTCATAAATAATTTTTTTATTCTGTTTCCGTAAATAATTTCTAAACATTTGAAGAAATTTGGTAATGGCTCAAAATTTCCATTCCTGGAATAGAAAAAAAATAGAAATGCGTTTGGTAACGGGAAAATTACCAAAAAAGTCATAAACATTTTGCAATTGTGCCAATTCAGTCCAAAACCTTTTGCAATTGTGCCAATTCAGTCCATCCGGCCACTTTTGGCCGGGCGGGGCTGATGTGGACGCCGGCCGGCTAACGTGGCAATTTTTAATAATTTTTTTTATTTTTTTTTATTATTTTTATCATTTTTTGAATTATTTTTTCTCTTTCTTTTTTTTTTCGCCTATCTTCTTCCCCGGTCGCCGGTTCGGCGACCAGCGAGAGGCTGAGGTCGGCGAGGTCCACCTCGCCGGCCATGGGCGAGGTCGACCTCGCCATGGCCAGGGCGAGGTCGACCTCGCCCAGCGACGGCGAGGTCGGCCTCGCCCGGCGACGGCGAGGCCTCGCCCGGTCATGGCGAGGTCGGCCTCGCCCGGCCATGGCAAGGCTCGACCTCGCCGGCGGCGACGGCGAGGCCTCGCCCGGTCATGGCGAGGTCGGCCTCGCCCGGCGACGGCGAGGTCGGCCTCGCCCGGCGACGGCGAGGTCGGCCTCGCCCGGCGGACGGCGAGGTCGGCCTCGCCGGCGGCGGCGAGGCCGCCCGATCCGGCGAGACCTCGCCGTGACCGTGGCCGGGTGAGGTCGAGCTCGCCAGGCCATGGCGAAGGTGAGGTCTTGCCAGATCTGGGCGGCCTCGCCGTCGCCGGGCGAGGTCGACCTCACCAGATCTGGGCGGCCTCACCGTCGCCGGGCGAGGCCTCGCCAGTGCTGGCGAGGGCTAGCCTCACCCATGGCCGGCGAGGTGGACCTCGCCGGCCTCAGCCTCTCGTCGGTCACCGGACCGGCGACAGGGAAAGAAGGTCGGCAAAAAAAAAAAAGAAAGAGAAAAAAATAAAAAAAAATTCGAAAAATAAATAAAAAATTTATTAAAAATTGCCACGTCAGCCGCCCGGCACCGGCCGGCGTCCACGTCAGCGCCGACTGGCCAAAAGTGGCCGGATGGACTGAATTGACACAATTGCAAAAGGTTTAGAACTGAATTGGCAAAAAAAAAAGGTTTATGACTGAATTGGCACAATTGTAAAAGGTTTAGGACTTTTTTGGTAATTTTCCCTTTGGTAACTGCACAAAATTTCTTTTTATTAATAATATTTTTAAATATTTTGATCTTTCTTTCTCTTTTTTATTTCTTGGCCATGATCGACGACTGGCCATAGGTCAAGGCCGGCGAGGGCGTCGCGGCCCTCGCCGGCCTTTTCCAGTTCTTGCCCAAACCGGCAAGGGCCGCCGTCGAGGCTCACGGCTTGGGCGAGGAACGCCCTCGCCGGATCTGGCGAGGGCTAGACCTTCGCCGTTGCCCTCACCAGATCCTGCGATGGCGGCCCTCGCCCAAGCCGTGAGCCTTGAGGGCGGCCCTCGCCAGCTTGGGCGAGGGCCGCCTAGGCCGCGAGGGTCCAGTCGTTGCCGGATCCAGCGAGGGCAGCCCTTGCCCAGGCCGCGATGCCCTCGCCGGCCCTGGCCTGTGGCCAGTCGCCGGCCAAGAAAGAAGAAAAAGAAAAAGAAAATCTTTTCTATTTTTGATTTTTGTTCCCAAAATCAAGAATCAACTTTTTTTATTTATTCTTGATTCTGTTCCAAAACTGATTGTGGGAACAAATTTATGTCCGGGAACAAAAAATTTACCAAACATATTTCTGTTCTTTTTTTATTACCGGGAATAAAAGAATAGAATCAGTAACTATTTTGCAAGTTATCAAACACATCCTTTGCTGCAAGCAGCTTCCTAAAATGGTTGCTGTCAACGAAGAATTAGCATATACTCTTTTGAAGTCGGCCAAAAGATCCAGGATGGGACCAGTACATCCCCAGAAATCTTATCAAGAACTGGGAAGGAGCATCCTAAGCTTGCCGGAACAGTTCACTGTTTTTTCTCCTACAGCAACTGTACTATGCGGTGGCAGTCCTGTTCCAAGAGTGTCTTGGATTCATGCAGATGACCGAAATCAACTTTCGCGTTCACGTGAAGTCAGAGAATGCTCGCTCATCCATTTACTTGTTACGTGGTCGATCCTCAGAGAATGCATGCAGTGTCCCAAGGTGTTTCAGAAGAGGAGTGTCTTATTGCTCTGTCTGCTTAGCCAAGCGGAGAGTTGCTTCGAGAATGCTCATAAGCACGAGCCTGCATATTTTTCGAGGACAGTAGTGGATTCTAAACAATTTTCTGAGCAGCTTGAGAAGTTCCCATTCCACTTTCTCGCAGTAAATTCAAGGGGTCTCAATCAGTGGAGCCGAGGATCCATCATATACCCTGAAATTGTAAAAGATAGCAGCACTTCTTCCTTAAGAATTTGTGCGGACTCATTCACTTGAGACTGCCCAATGATGATGCTTTCAATCACTTTCCAAAGATGGCGTAACTTGTTTGCATGTCTCGCAGAGAGATTAGTGACCGGTGTTTATTTGGCTTTAGTTTAAATAACTAACATCTCTTTAAAAAACGAAGCAACTTTTTCTATCTTTTGAAAAATTTTATTCACCTTTTTCGCCAACGCCTTAAATTTATTATCTATTATACGAAATCACCAACTACTTTAGTATGATTTACTAACTTTTCTCCGACTAAGTTTTCAACTATAGTTTTGCGTCACCAACCCTTATTTGAGTTTGTACAGAATTTTATTTGGTTCTTTTCGATTTATCGGTTTTTTCATTGAGTTGCCACTTTAATTTGCTAATTTTATTTGGGAGAGCCGGTTCCAACTTGAAATAGAAGAGAGAGGGGATCGAGAGTCGTGCTAGGGCTTACCTATTAGCTTTATGAATTGTAAGTCTTGTTGTCTGGCGGTGGGGATGTGGGCTGGGAGTGGCATGAGTTTAAGTGTGGGCCTAGGGCCTTTTGTTTTTTTCTTTTCTTTTTTTCAGTTTTAGATTGTTAACTTGTAATTTAATAGAGTGATTTTCTTTTTCTAAATGTGCTGACCGGTTTCGAAGCCGGTTCAAACCCGATTCTACCCAAGAACCGGCTTGGTTAGTGTGGTTCTCGGGTAGAACCGGCGAGTTCAAGGCTCAAAACTGGGAAATGAACCGAATTTGATCGGTTCCCAGGTTTTTAATTCGTGAATCTACGCTATTCACTTGAGAATCGGCCTTGAACCGAACCGACCAAGTCGGTTTGGAGGGGGAGGGTTCCCAGGTTGAATGCGGAGCATTACTCCCTTATAACTTACTTGGACAAAAGTCATCAGTAATATTTGATCTATTCACGGTTTATTTACATTCATCAACATTTATAGAGATTTACCTGCACAGATACAAATCATTATATTTTGGCTCAAAAGAGTAGAATCATTCGATAACCTTGTGCCGAGTTGAGACGGCCAAAAAACTCATTCTTCCTTATGTCTTGGTAATACAAGAAGACAAATATATATAAAGGAAATGACCCTCAAACTCTTGATTTGAAACTAGGAAGGACATTAGATGATTCTTATGACTAGCAAAGAAAGTTGCTAAAATTGCAAGAAATTCTTAGACAGCCTACCATTAGTAGAAAAACCACATGTCACTTTCAACAAGCGGTGGCGACAAACTACCTTGAATCATGTAACTTACCCATTTTTGGCAGTGAGATGTAATCAACTCATTGATCATAGCTATACTCGAGAGTTGTACTGATGGCCACCGTTTGCGAAAATTTTTCCACTGCCAATAAATGAAATTAAAACTCGATTCCCAATTCTTTTTATTTTATTTTATTTTGTTATATCTAAGTTCTGCTAATTCTTTCAAGCTCAGAAGTATACAAGCCTTGAAGTTGACGAGATATCACCATGCAGAAAGTGTTGGCCACCTAATAAAGTTTGTTCCTTGACTCTTTTCCTTCTACCAGATCAAAAATCTTCTTGATAATACATTGAAGAAGAAGAAAGAGAGGAAGAAGAAGCAGCAGCTTAAGCTTGCACAAGAGCGCTAGTAGTTCAGACGAACTAGAAACGACACAAGGCACATGCATAAAGAACCGCAAAGCAAGACGAGCCCTAGGGAACTACTTGCTAGAATCACCAGCTCCATTGCTTCCACCAACATCGCCTTCTTCTTCTTCTTCTTCCTGTTCACTATTTGAGTGTCGTAGCCATGGACATGAGGATGATAGTTCCAGCCGTTTTGGTGGCCCCGGGGATGATCTTTCAGTCTCTCCCTCTGCCTTACTTCGTCTATCCGCTGTCTTAGAACGTCCAAGTTTGCGTCCACCATATTCGCTGCCTTCCCTGTAGAACCAAAGATTATTTACAGATTAATCCCATGAGAAACATAGCACAGGAATCCTAAACCATCTATATGCGCAGACTCGTCTTAGATTTCCTTAATGACAATTATGGCAGGATAAATCACAGAGAGATCAAGGGAGGTATTCAATGTTTTCAGATTCAATATACGTGATTCACTGACAAAATTTCTTGCTCCGAAAACTTATCCAATATTATGCTTGATAGGATCCAGCCCTTGAAATCATGAACTAATCTGCTTTGATAAAATAATGGCCAGTTTACAAGAGAATTCGAACCTACCTTCGTCTTTAAAGCTTCGCGATATCACTCTTGGGTACATGATCGATGTCTTATGCCTGCAAGTGCAAGCCGGGCCTTTCACTCTGCAAAAGCTTGGTGGAGACGATGAACAGGCCATTGTGTGGAGGGTACTTACTTTGAAGGGCTTGTAAGTTTCCAGATTCAACTACTCTCACTTGGCCCTTTTACTTATTTATAGCAAAGAGATAAGGTTAATAAGAAGTAGTCGTACTTGACAGATGTACACTTGTACAGTTGTCCTAAGATACATGCATGTTTCTGCATCACATGAATATGATGTATCACTTTGTTATATATTCATAAGGTCTTTGTACTTCATCCTTTGTATATGCACTATGTTTTTGCTTCTGGTAATTTATTAAATCACACATATGCTTAATATTTTGGCTTTCTATAAGAAATGAAAAAGTCATGCATGAAAGTTACAACACAGAGTGATATTAATTTGAGTTCTAGTGAACATATCATGTCTGATGTATTGTTCCTTATAGCATAAGATTATTGATTAGAGCTGCAGGATTTATTCTATTACATGTATATCAACATCAAACCAAGCTAAATTAATGTCAAAACCTCGTTGATACTCCTAAATGTGCGCTTAATATGTTCTTATTCTTGACATTACACTTGTACAGTTGTCCTAGGATACATGCGTACATACTACATCATGCATGAACTTTACAGCACAGTGATATTAATTTGAGTTCTTGTTAACACATGATGTCTGATATATATAAGATTTATTTATTATATGATAAGATTATTGATTAGAGTCGCAAGATTTTATGCTGTTAGGTGAAATATAAATATGAAGATATATCCAATACATTAATATCAACATCAAATTAAGCTTAACTAATGGCAAAACCTTCTTAATACCCCTAAATGTGTGCTTAATATATTTCTTATTCTAGACATTTTTAATGAGCCAGCTTTACCCAGTGATGTGCTTTTGATGGTTATTTTAGCAAATTTCTAATTCTTATGCTTATATTATTTATGTATATATAGATTCTATTTTAGATTTTACCCAGTTTCTAATTCTTGTCATATATTGTTTGTCCATATATAGATTCTAATTAAAATTTTATCTAACGATTTGTTTTGAATGGACATTTTAACATATATAATTGTTATGCATATATTGTTTATGTATAGTCCATGGTAAAAGTTATGTTCCATGATCGCACATATTTTGGTAATAACTATTTTAGAATAATTGTTTACATGTGTGTATATATTCTATCTAGAAATATGTATATACAAATAAGGCTTTCCTGCATCTATGTCATAAAAAGAAAAGGACAAATTAAAGAGAATAAAGAGTACTATTGAAAGAAAAAAATAGCGAAAGTTTTAAATATAGATTTTTTTTTGTTATTTACAACAAGTACATTCATGGTACACCTAGGAGCAACATTGCACATCGTCTGGAGACTTGCTGAAGGAAGGAAATGTATACCCTAATGAAGAATTTTCAGTTGTTACTGAATAGGATGTTTATAGTGTTATTAGTGACGACAAACTCAAATTAATTAATGACGTGGCCTTGCTTATGAGATAGAAAATGATGCGTGATGCCAATACGACGCCAAACGAGCAAAAATCAAATGGGAAAAACAAGAAAAAAGAAATAATAATATGACATTATCAATTATAGTAGGTAAGCAAATATTGCTTTGGATCAGAGCTACCTACACAAGTTGAAAGTCTGGACTTAATCGGTTTGTGACGCTTGTAGAGTGTTTCGTGAGCCTCCAAGTAGCCGAGCCTTTACGCTCCTGCCCTTGAGTTATAAAAAAAATGGAATTATATTATGCTATGTATTGTCGATTAAAGCAATCATTATAATCCTTAAGTTAGCTTGAGTAGTCAGGTGATATTATAATATAAACATTTAGGTTATCATTGCGTAACAAAGAAGTGGTTTGGTTCAGAATTATCAACATTTGTGAAAGAGATGGAGAAGTCATTGTCGCAATCTCTCTCTCTCTCTCTCTCTCTCTCTCTCTGAAGGAAGATTAATTCAAAGGACTGGCTCTGCACATTAACGTTAAGTGTTAATTACTATGTCTAATCTTTGATTAAACTCTCCAGCCCTTATTGAAAATCCCCAAAAGGCGTTGAACATCACTATAATGTTAGGTCCCCAACCTATGCGCTTTATCCTTTAGTTGATTAACCAAGATTAAGGACTTGATTAACCCATTTAGTGGGTTTATGTAATCTCTTTTTTTTTCCAAGTTACATGGTGAAAGATTCAAACTAATGATTAGCAGCACATTACGACTCAAGCAGAAGAAACAAAGTGAGCTTGTTGTCTAGCATACACATAATAGCAAAGAGGGTCAAACCTCGCCCTTCTTGTCATGACATGATTAATGGCATATATATAATATCACTTCGCTATACATTTCCGTACATTTTTATCAATCTAAGAGGTATTTTAGTTGCAAATATGGCTGATAAAAACTGCTAGCTAGCTAGCCGATAGAACAAGAAACATCAAATGAGTTGCTTAGGTACTTGTGATGATGGTGTTCATTCTTTGCTTAATTGTATCTTATGAACATCTCCATCTAGCTACAGAAAGATGGGCATAGCAACACTAAGTCCCTACCCTTGGGAAACATATTCTGCGTGAATTATTCCTCCAAACTTTTTCAGATGCCGCGGGAAATACTCTTTCTCCAATCATGCAAAACTTGGTGATTTAGGGTTTAGTGATGTCTCATGCCTAACCCGACATTAGTAGAAATTAAGGGACATTCACCAAAACAAAGGAAATTCCAGAGGGAATTTGATCATAGGCTTTGAGGGTAGGTGAGATAGCTTAAGATTTGACAAAATGTGACAGAGACAAGTGCGTGAAGATCCGGGATGATTCCCCCAGTCATGAGCAAGCAAATGGCGATGGAGTGGCTGGTGTTACAAAAGCAATAAAGAAACCTTTAACAATTTGATTTGGCCACGTATCCTCTGGACAACGTAACTCCTGCCTTCTTGGGAAGCGAGACACATCTGTCACACAACAGAGGACACTGCAATCTTTTGCTGGCTAGGTTTGTTTTTGTTAATGACATGCACCAAAGCTTCGAAACATAATGGGGAGTTATGCATGAATACTCTGTTGTTGAATCCGCATCGCTTGTGTTTTGTCATCCACCACACGAATGATCCGCGATTTTAGGACACATGTGATCAATGATACTATGAGGGTATTATTCACACTCCCCATTAATAGGAAGGTACAAAAGTATGAACTACAATCTAACAATCGAGGACGTCTATGATTGCCGTGTGTCTTGATTTTTCTTTCTCACTTTTACTCTCTATTTGTGTTTATGCGTCTAATTCTAATAAATACTAATCTCTCTGTATCAATCATAATCTCGTGACGACTGTTAATGGGTTTAGACGAACCCATGTGCTCATGTTGGATTGCATGGTGGACCTGGATTCAAGAATGACAACAACTTTGATTATTCAAGTTTTCATTGGATGAATGCCAGGTGAGTCTGCTTCAAATCCCCATTTTTGCGGGCTCCAAAGAAAGGAATAAAATTATATAAGGATAAAAGAAGAAGCCTTTTTAAGTATCCACAGGTGTCGACACACATGATGCTAACTAATCTTTTAGTCCTAATCACGGATCAATGAGGGATGCACTTAGTCACTTTTCGTCTTTATTAAAAGAAGCCCATGTAACGTAGCACAAATGTCCAAACGACATGCGGCCGATGGAGAGAGAGAGAGAGAGACGGCAATAGATATTAGTCATCTCGACATGATTGACCTTCTCTTTAACTTATTAAATCTGTTCAATCATGAGATGATGAACAGGTGTACCATAATCAGCAGTGCCGTTTTCGTTAGTAGTTTATTAACTGATGATGGAGTTAGGCAGATTTTAAAAAAAGGTTGTAAATTAGGAAGGCCGAGCATCTCGATTCAATGATGGCCGACTTTAAGGGAGAAAATAATTGGAGGAGACTTCCATATTTATCAGGATTTTGACTTTAGTGCTTTTTCCAGATTTTTTTTTTTGTCATAATTATTAGATTCAGATTGTCCATGAGATCACTCAGAACGATCTCAAGGAGAAAGTGTAACTTGCATGAGTATGGCCGCCGAAATCGAAAGCCGCACCCACAAATATACGTCAAAAAACGGGATTCGTATGGCGGGTTATCATAAATTCAGACACTGGAGGATCGGAGGACCAGAGGAAACTGAGGCTCGATCTATTCTCAATGAGGGCTCTCATAGAGTACAATCGGTTTCATCAAATTTTAGGTAACTCCATAGAGGTAACTTTGGAGTAATCCGTCCGGGTGCAAAAGTATTTTCAATGAGATTCCCAACACCACGTACCGACATGATATCACCCATCCTTTTCAATGGCGCTCAAAAAACCCGAAAATTAGACCCAACACTCGTCAACCACCAAACCACAATTCAAAAACCACCATGGCTATGTACCATGGCAGAGTCCGAACATAGAAGAATAAACGGGGGCATGCCTCCATAGTCTTTGCTTTTTAACTTGTTCGGCCAAAGCCTCTTAACAGAAGCTCCAAATATCAACAAGTCTGGACATGATCCTCCAGTCTTCAAGCATTACAAACAACTTTTTACACGCATAAATCCCATTGAATTGACATTTGCAACTGCACGCTGAAAAGCTAAACTAGCTAGACCTACTATTGAGTTATCCGAATACAGCTTCACACGAGACATGTACAGCTGGAAGTCTAAAAGTCTCTACTCTGGACAGTATACACATAACAACTAAGCGTTGTATTTACATGTCCATGTCGTCGAAGATTTCCTCGTCTTCACCGTAGCCTAATTCATTTGGAAGCAGTCCCTCCACCACTAAGTTACTGCCAAAGTAATGGTGAAAACATATAAGTTTCATTAAAGAAGGAATGAGATGAGTAAACTGAAACTTAACCTACCTTAAGCATAAAAATCGGAAGCTAACAATGCGCTTTAGTTTCCGGTTATAGAAGAAGAAACTGAAAGACCATCTGAAGGAGCCCAAAAAAGAGAGTTAATAATTAACATAAAAAATGGGAACCACTTGCACAAGTGAGGAGATGATGAGCAGACAATTACATTGCTCCTCTCTCTGAAAACGGGTCTGCATCTGAATTGGGATTATAGCTGTATATTTCACATTCGGATAGCTTAACAACCTGCACGGCTATGAGTTAGGCGAAAAAACACTTGCTGATGGAACATGCAGTTATATTCTTGTAAAAGTCACCTCATCCAGAGCCTCTTTTAAGGTTTCAATAAGGGAACCATCACCATTTGCCTGTACCCATTCCTGGAATTTTAACAGCTAGACAATTACAACTTCTTCAAAGTCAAATACAAGGAACAAAAGGTAGAAATAATATACTTTGTTGGATAAAAAATTTATGGAATAAGCAGGAGAACTCAGAAGGGTAAAGAACCTTAAACCAAGTTTCTCCTCCTCATTCATAGCTATGTAGATAGAAAAACCGGAACCTCTTGACATTAAAGGAGATCCTCTGCTCTCTCAATAGTAGCGATAAACAATAACAATAGCAATGACAGTAACTATCGGCTATAACCAACTACATGTAAATGGCCCCCGTAGAGAGGACTGATTAAAAACACTGGAACTTGCAACAAGAATAAAGGGGAAAAGGAATAAGATGGAAAGATAGGTCACACCACACATTTGAATGTCAAATTGATAAAAACGAACATTAATGCATTCAGATATGAGTGAACCAAGATTATTCAAAAGGAATTACCTTGGATGCTTCAAACATGTACGTATCAAAGATCTGCTTAAAACTGTCCCAGCTTTCCTCAGTAAAGAACTGATGAGCTTTCACCACACTGGAAAACCAACAGACAGGTAAACCTGATACCATTGCTAGAACATGAATTGCTACAATCAATATCCCGATAAAGACTCTGCTTAGTCATATGTTATGACCAAATGTCATCGGTTTACAAGTTCATTGTGAGAGAAGCAGTATCAGCTTGGGAAATGGAGAGACTTGAACTCTCAGCTCCTCCTAGAGCAACAGTTCTCTGAACTGTCTGTCAACCTTTGACAACACTCCCAACATGATCAAGAAAGGATTATACAACGGGTTGCCATGTCGCCTAGTCAGCTGACGAAGTCATTACCCATAATCCTCCCTTCTATTGCAGTTACAAAGTAGAAACAAACATACAGATGTACCTGAAGTCATAATCCGGACACATGTGATAAAGTGTAAGAACCAGATAGATCAATGTCTTTCGGCTGCATTGACCATAAGCAAAAATCCAGTCAAACAAACACAAGAAGTGAAAACCCCGTATATGTGAAGTCAAGAACTCTTTTGCACCTGGATCTGCTCAACAAGTGATCAACTGGTGAAGAAGAGTCAGTGTCTGAAGATCTTCCGAGATAATCAAGCATCTGAAATTGAATAGGACAATTTTTTAAGGAAAGGACATAAATTGTAAAACGCGATCAAGCGCTACACACGCATTGAAAATACCAAAGGCCTCTGTCCACATAAGGAGAGACAAGGGAAATGGGATTGGGAGTGAGAAAGTAAAGGCCCAACCTGACAAAATGAACCAAAAGCACACAAAAGAGTGCTAGTATCGTGATAACCAGTCCACTAACACAGGTCTCGAATCTCTTGATGCATTTTTTAGCATTTTTTTAATCATTATCAATGAAATGTGGGAAGTACATAGCATAGGGAATAGAAATTATTCTGTTAGGATCGTGGGAATGAAACACATCTTAAACAGAATAAAATGGGACTAAGAACATCTTTCATCCAATACATTTTTACAATTTCAAATGTTCAAGATAACTCTAACACGAGCCACGATTGACTCTAAGCTTCGCAACTAAATATGTAACTAAAGAGTTAGCAGGATTCTTTTGAAAATCCATCGACAGAAAGGTATAGTTATACTAGTAGCAATGCTCAGCCAATATGAACATTTCTCATTAAAAGATTCTTTACTATAATCTTCTCAGCAGCAATTACATGAACTTTCACCATGCACGCCGTTTAAACTACTGCATCTGGATTAGAAAACAAACGAAACATATCGTGATAACAAGCCCAGACTGTGACATAGAAACTCGGCTGTTAATTTAATTGAAATCGATCCCATCTGTACGACAAATGTTATATGGGAGAAAAGGAGAAGGTTATGTAACCAACAAAGCAATTCCTTTCAACAATTATAAAGTCGTATTCAAATTAAACGACATGTTAAATTGTCCTTGATTTACCTCATGCTCCAAACTGATGGAGAGTTTCTTATCTGTTCCCGTATGCTTGCCTACAAGGAACAGCGCGGGAGCTCACAGTCAACAACTGAATATGAAGTAAACCAAAAAAAAAAAAGGAAAAAAAAATGCAAATAATACGTACAAGAGTAAGCTTCAAGGCACCCTTCAATGGTACATTCGCCAAGACTCAAATGATCCAAGAAATCATTTATTCTGCAATATTTCGATTAGGAAGCTTCACTTAACCGTTCCAGAAAAGCTTCTGAGATTCTGAAAAGACTACCTAGGAGATTACCGTTCCAGAGGGGTGTATTCTAGGAACTTCATTGCTCAGGCAGTACGATGAGTTCAACAGCCTTCTCAGAGGTCCTGTTGTATATGGTCACAGCTCAATATTACTCTTCCATATAATTTCCAGAGGAGAAAAATAAGGAATAAATGACAGCACATTTGATAAAGAAGATTCCTCACCAACTAGAAGAAGGAGACCAAGCACAAATATTCTCCTAGCCAAATGGAAGGAGGAGATCAAGCAATCCTCAAGAAGAGTTTAGCTCTCCATTAAGACACAATCAGATTTGCTTAATTCATGCAAGGTATTCCCCCGATAATTACTATTATGACCTCGAATACATGTACATCAAACAATCAATACCCTCATTTTAGTGGAAACGGTAAAGCAGGCAGCAATTAACATGATGAAAAGGGGAAAACAGCGTCCAGGTTGCTCCTTCCAATCTACTAATGATATATTAGGCGTCTACCCAACAAACGTGTTCTCTCCGAAAATCTCCCAACGGCCGATCGATAAAAATATTCCCCTTCTCCCCTCAGCTCTCGTCTTCATTAGTTTTTATTTAACCTGCGAGTATAGTCATCTTATTATAGCTCTACCTGGGCGACTTAAAACTCAATGGTAAGTGCGTTTCGGCCCCTACAGGACACAGCAGCAATGATTTCAACTCCGATACTTAAACCAAGAAGTCCAAATCAGTCCCAACACAGAGTGAATTTAATCTATCTACCAGCTCAGTCAGCGCCCGCAGCGCTTAAAGCGCAAGGCTACGGCACGCGCACGAGTCCCGTCTCCCGTAAGAAAGAACAACGCAAGATCGATCCCAAAGTACCGCAAAAACTCGACACAGCAGCCGCACGCATCTCCTCCGTACACTAACCATCAAGCCGTAAGGACGATTCGACGCATCCGAGGGGGGCGATCTATGAGCAGCGCCCCACGCTCGGCTCAAGACCCCTAAGCGCATTCCCGGCGCCGTCCCACAAAGCCAACCCCACCAAAAAGCCACAGAGGAGCACGCTCAACAAGCCACACGGCGCGGTCGAAGTCCCGCGCAACCCCCGGGCCCAACCGAGGCCTAACGAGGTGGAACGAAAACGGCGGGGGATTCCGGCCAGAAACCGCGACGGGGAAGGCAGGGAAGCGGCGACCGCGGCACGGACGATTCATCCGGCAACGGAGCGGAAACAGCAGCAGAAGAAGAAGAGAGAGCGAGAGAGCAAGTGAGAATGGAGATCGGAAGATCAAACTCACCTCCTCCGGGATCGGCGTCGACGAGACGGGGGGGGGGTGCAATTGTTCAGAACACGGGAGGAGGGGGAAGAAGACGAGCTTCTTCGGCTTCGGTGGTGTTGGGAGGAATCGGGGGATCGAGGATGGAACCCTAATTTGGAATATTCCGAACTGAAGCTCCGCGTGCGCGGTCACTGATAAGAAGACTGCGTTTGGCTTGGGTGGGTGTTTCGGGTCGGGTCGGGTCGGGTCTGGACGGCGGTTGGGTTCGAGGGAGGCGAATGCCGACACGTGGCGATTGAGTTACCGTGATTTGGGCGGCGGCTGGATCGGATTCATGAAATCGATGTAACTAAAACAATCGCGACACTTTCTGTAATGGTATTGAACTGGAATGTCCCGCTAATGATCTGTGGCGTTACTCGGTACATCAATTTTCCAAGGTCGATTTTAGTAAATACCCAGCATTGCCTTTTTCTTCGAAAGAACTATGTTGTTCACGAATGAGCTCAAGGTACTGCTTAACTATACTCAATATCACAACCGCCCTATTGCGAGGGTGATGGGAATTTTATGATTTTGACTGATCAATTAGTCCGACCTGAAGATCGAGTTACAAGCTCTCCGGCATCAAAGAGAAATCACGGGGACCAAATCTTTCGACGAGTGTTCAAAACTCTTTCGTCGCGTCCATCCATTTAGCTCGATTCCCAAGAATCCACGATCTCGATGCCTTTTCGAAGATTGAATCCACATCGAGGTAAAATTGAGCGGGGGGAGGGTGCCCGACTTTGACTAGCGAGGTCCTCGCCACGAAGATGATCGAGCACGGCGAGAAGCGCGCGGAATTCTTCGTCAATCTCGACATGCCGCCGGACTATTTTCTGTAGCATTTTTAACAACCTTGGTGTTTTTGTTCTTCTCAAGACGAAAGCCAGACAGTTTATACCAGAATTCAATGGAGATAACTTTGCATAATTGGCTGCGTGCAGCAGTGCTGCTTCTTGTGTATACATATATATATGTACATTGTGATACTTTCCTTTCGACTGTACAATTTTCCCCACGAGATGAAAATGAAAAAAACCAGTAGAAATGATCTGGTGACCTGTGCTGTAATCGCTCTGAAGACTAAAGAAACACTCCATTTTCAAGGCCTAGCCTCTTTCTTCATCTGCCGTCGCGCGATAACGGAGAAGGCTGCTGGGTAGGATTCTCGGTCTCCTGGTCTGATGAAGCGAGCGGCGAGCTCAGAGACACCTGTGGGTCGCTCCCGATATCAGTAACATTATAACAATCCGGTCGCCTATCGTTAAGCGCTCGTGGTGAGGAAAAGTAAAGAAACGAAGCACAATGTGTCGAGTTTGGAGAAAATCAGCAGCATTAAGGACGTGCCCTGTACCTGTACCTGTTGACGCCGGTGTCGCTGGACGGCAGTTAGCACCCTTATTATGATGTAAATCGGCAGGACTATCCCCACGGTTCGTAAAGACAGTAGCTGTCTCGCAAAGAAATCATACATTAGCCGCGAGTCTCGTTGCTGTAGAGCTAATAATGTTTGCGCTAGTTTTCTTCGGCTTACCATTAACAATGGCAACGAGTATTCACGAGTGCCGCTCAGCAAGACCGGAAGAGCGTGCCTTAAGACCAGAAGAACCATGAACTGCATCAAAGTGTGGCAGGTTTAGTATCTGAAATATCCCTGAACTATCCAATGAATGAACAGAGCATCTCAAGGCGAACTTATAACCGAGTCTATGCAAGAGACGGGCATTTTCGGGTAGTAACATGCGTGCTCGATTGTGTTTTCAGAGTGGAAGGGGGGGAGAGAGAGAGAGATTACGATGCAAGCCATGGAACGGCAGCACATTAAGCTTCTTGATACCGAGTGTGAGTGCTCGTTGTCTGCCGGTTCAGAGAAACTACGATCAGGTGCAACCATCGCTATAATGCGCGGCCCATTCAAGTCTCCTCGGTATACCTCCCAGTTTCCCCTAAAACATAGAAAAAGAAAGAACATGCTGAAATTGGAGCAATCGCAATAACCAATTTTCTTCGGCAACCTGATAAGAGAGCTTAAACTAGATAGATTGGCTGTTAGATTACCGGAAGTTCATTGGAACCCGACCAAACTGAAATAGCGGAGGCGGGGCTGTGTAACCAGGCTTGAATTGCTGAAATGCGGAGAAACCAGCCAAGCAATGTAACATAGAGTTAGAGTTTAAGCTAAGGATCGATATATGTTGAAGCAATCATGCATGGTGAAAGAAAAGGCAGAAAACTTTACCTGGTGACAGATCTCGCACAAAGTGTTACCCTTCTCATTACACCACCTCTGTACGCATCTGCGGTGAGCGTACTGAAGGATTCAAGAAAGAGGAAAGAATGATTAAAAAGAATTCAGTCAGAGGACTAAAACTATCCGGCGAAACCATATAAACGAAAGACAGAAAGTTTTGGATATGAAAATTCTGGCAACAGGACACAGATCATCTGCTGCGGCAGGACAAGCATGGCATCAACAATAAAGTTCATTAACAACTTTGTGATTGCACCAGAGCAATTGGTGATCAAAGCAACTATGCCACCTAAACATGACCAAAAGGGGCCTTTTGCATATAGAGTAAACAAAACTGAAAACGGTCTCTTTCCATGAGAGGAAATACATCCCATCCGCATTCTTGGTACATTCTCTACGCCTTATGGCATTGCTACTCAGGCTTAATAATGATAAAGACCTTAAAAGTCTCTAATGAGACTGTCCTAATATAAGGGCCCGCTTAGGGTGCAGGATTCAAGCTCATGTTTGATACAAGGAAGAATTACACAAGAAGATCAGTTACAAAATCATTCCGGGTACTTTTTCTGTTAGACCGGTTAAAGCAGATGGACCCAGGTTCGTGATGCATGATACTTGTGCAGACAAATGAAGTCGACCTCCGTGGAACTTACAAAGAAGTTGATCGATAAAAATCACCATTGAACAAAAGCAAATGAACATCATCTTACTAAACGTAGAAAGGACGGCTCGACTAACCTTCAAGCTGCCGCAACAAGAGCATGGTGTCTCCATATTTCTGTCATCATCTTCGTCCTGGCATATACGGCACTCAACCAATTTCCCCGTAGAAGATACATTGCCTAAGTCGACCTTGTGTGAGGCGCTCTCAGCTGGTTTTAAGTCTGAAGCCAGCTCCATAGCTTCGAGATACCGGTTCTGGCTCTCGATTGCAGCTCCCAAAGTCGACTCGGTGAGCAAGCGATCCACCAACAACACGAAGTGATCCCCCATTTACTTCAACCAATAAGCAAATTGCTTCCTTCGCAAGAAACTCGTATTATTGATGGCCAAAACAACTCAATCCGATGCCTTCTCTTTTAGCAAGCTTCTGTAACAGAAGACCAATCAACTGTTACCATAAGGATGATTAATAGCTAGCAACAGCAAAGCCAAGGACACAGAAAAGGCCAAGGAGACATCCAAAGAGAAAACGATGGAAGCCAATCGCAGAGACAGAGATGGCAACAAAACAACGAATAGACTATTTCAAAAATTGACACTGGTTTCCTAAATCAATATAGAGCTAAAGAAAAGCTGTACTCTTGAAATTAATGTGCTGAAGGTAAAGTGCAATCACAGAAAGGAAGACTATCAACAGAAGACAAATAGCCTCTGTTCATAATATCGACAAATGAGTTCAGAAATGGATTGGAATGCAATAGTCATATCGTGATGATCAGAAACAAACAGTTTCCAACTTTACATAAAAAAATTGAGATCATCAAACAAGAACGGGGATGAGGAAGAAATAAAAGATGCAAAAGATAGCATCCTCCCTTGACAGCAAAACAGAAAGCCATTCTTGATGGTACCTAATTACCGAACAAAACGAACAACCAAGGGAAAGGGGCGTTCTCAAAAGACATCATTTTTTTTTCTAGGTACAAAAGCGGGGTACAGAGAGAGCGAGAAACAGAGCACCCGGTGTCAGAGAAACCAACCAGAGAACAAAGTATGAGGGAAAAGGAAAGAGACCCAGATGCCAAAACAAGAAAAGCCGAACACTTTTCCTTCCCTTGTTTCATCAATCCAAAAGCCTTGAACGGCGAATATTGAATAGCTTTTGGCTTATGAAAAGGGGAAAAAGATTCCAGGGGAAAAGGGAAGGAAGCCAAAAGGGAAGGAGAGACTTACAAGAAGAGCATGGCATATCTTCAAGCTTAGACAAAAACAAAGTCTCTCTCTGAATGAAAACCTCTCTCTAGTTTCTTTCTTCTTTGAAGCAAGGGGAAGAGAGAATGGAGTGTTGCGAATGACTTGGGGACATGGGACTCGTGAAGAAGCTCTAAAAATAGTTATACAGAGGAAACCAGATAGAGACACATACAGAGAGAGAGAAAGAGAGGCTAAAAGCTTGTGGATTAAAATAAACAGGGACAGAAATCAAGTCGCTATCTCAGCTCAAAACAACCCCTCTTCCTTTCAGGGATTGTGTTACGAGTTAGTTTACAGTTGAAAGAATAGAAAAGATAAAAAAGCAAAGAGATTCCAACGGTAAAGGCAAAGAACAACCTGCGATCGACACGAATTCAACGATCCCTCGAATTCTTTTATCTTGCCTTTTTTGAGATATATTTTTATTTTTCCGCCGAATCTCTTCTTGTTCAGTACTTTTCTGTCCACAACAGGTGGAAAAAGATTTCCCGGGCATGGATTTCGAATTCGATAATTTCCGCGATCAGCATCTACAAACACGATCATATATGATAAACGAGATTAATTTACCTCTTTTTATTGAGGATATATCCCGGTTCCCTCTTTTCATCTTACTCTTTTTCTCCTGTTAATTCTCCATATATTTCGTGCACTCGTTGATTAGTGAGATTGTTTATAATGAGCAAATAAATATGAATATATCAATGAAGGGTTTCGGAATGGATGAGGATCTTGCCCCTGTTTTGTAACTTGGCTTGCACTACCAACACGAACAAAACGCAAATCCTTGCGTTTCGGACTTAATCTGTCACATTGTCTCGAAAGCAATGGAACACCACAAATGCAAGCTACACACACATATATAAATATGAGTGAAATCGATATATATCATATTAAATCCTTGCTTAGCTATCATTAGAGATAATGGAAACCTGCATGAGATCACACTGTTGATTCTCCAAAAGACACGCGTGAACGTAATGTAACGCAAGCGGGTGAAGAGCCAAATGCCACGAGTCGTTGAGCTAGGAAGGTCAACGGGATTATAATTAATTCCATAATTCGCGGTGCGCATAAACTGGAATTAAGGATTATCTTCATGAAATTCATTTCCTTAGGTAAAAATGTCGTAACTCTTTTACCTAAACTAGAAGGTCAAAGCTTGACTTCTTTTGAAATTGTCCATTGTCAGCTAGATAACGAGAAAGATTAATCAATCGGTCAATTCATACTTTGAGATTATTTTAAGCCAATAAGAAGTGGCGCATTACATGTCTAGATAATCCTCAAGGACAACCCCGTAGAACAACCGAAAGAACGGACGATTCTGCCAAACGTAAGATGCATAGCTAGAGGAAACAAACTTTGGTTTCGTTATTGATTAGGTGAAGGAATGCACGGGCGGTTCTTCTAGAATTACAAACGTTATTGACGGTGGGTCAATTTTTCATATCCTAGCAAGATAATTAATCGATATGTGAAGATGTTTATCGCTTCAAACGCGTCGTTTGATATGAGGAGTAAAGTTTAGGATGGTATTTGTAATTTCCTTTCTTTTGTTCTCGTGGACTCCTCGAATCCGGCTACCACTACCGGGAATTTTCCAAGGTGATCCGTCTTTCATTAATTTGATAGAAATCGACAACATTCGAGACCTCGAAACTATGTACAAATAGCTAGGACTACCCCAAAGTTCGTGCAATTGAAATTTCTTTCCAACTCCAATCTCGGCTTAAAAGAGAAATAATACATTTCTTACTTTCATGGGACTAAACTTTGAACTTTGATTTATTAGGAAGGTGGACACCTTTGACCACGACCATTTCTAGATGGTCGTAGGTCGGAGAAGGGTTTGGTTGACCCGATTAGGTGGCGATCTCATCCATCCTCTCCTCATCAAAACTCAGGTTTACGTGTCGAAATTAAACACAATTTGGTCTCCGGTCGAAGTGCTTCGCGGTTGACGCTTGACAATGACATGAGGGGAAAGAAATTGCATGCATGATCTCATGCAAAATCATTTGATTGGTTTTGGTTGGCAACCGTACCAATAAGCAAGAACCCTAATCCTCCTCCATCTTAGGCTCCAAAAAGGGTTATGTAAACCCTCGTCATCCTTCGATTTCAACGCAATTATTATTCCTTGAGGATGATCGCATGTGTGCTTTAGAAAAAGTGGTGGACGGCGTGGTTGACCTACCATATTGGCCGGATGTTGACTTGCTTAGCGAGAATATAGCAAAGACATGACCAACCTAAAGCAAACTCCAAGTTATTATTAGGGTTTAGGAATTCCAGCGTTTCTTGTGAGGTTTGAACGTGTGGGATATGGCGGCTATTGGTTTATATGAATAATTATTGAGCTGAGTAGATAGATTATTTGATGGTAGGAGTTTAGCTTTAGGGTGTGTTATTAGAGTTGCTTCTCATAGATTTGTTGTTTAAGTTAAGATGATTATAATTAAACCTACGCAACCTGGTGGGGAAGCGGACAAGACATTGCTTCTTTTCGTAGGTTTCGATATCAGTTGTGCAAAAAACAATTAAGATGGGTTGATAACCCTAATGTTCTCGTGCTTGAGATTTCTAGTTGGGGAATTAGGTTTTCCCCTTTTATTTCGTTAAGGAAACCAGTCGCCTAAAGCTGAATGATTGCGTTAGCTTCTACATATTAAATTGAGGTGTCTATTCGGTAGCTTCAACTTTAATCGTTTGCTCACGGTTTTAAGAACCCTCGGATAACCATTCTCTGAAGTATAATAAAGTAAAGAGTTGCAACAAATATAAGAAAATGACTAGACCCATCAAACAAGTAAGTTGGATCGGGTTTGGGTCAGGCCGAAAACGATCCGGCCCAAATTGACCCATTTCCATATAATATAAATCTAATGACCATTATCCAATCCGACCCATATTGCTAAATTACTCCTCTATTTAACCAAATCTATGAAAACTTATGCACCAAACTAAGGTGAGAACGCAGAGTGAGTGAGCATGAGATCGAGTGAGGGCAAGAGAGAGCCATAGATGTAGGTTCAGTTTGAGTAAGTTGTGAATTCTTTTAACATTCATATTATTTGGGCTTTACCCTTCTTAATCCATTTAGGTCCCAATTATTGAATATAACTAACCCATATAACAACTCAGCTCATCAAATATGGGTTAAAAATTGGATCCATGACCCATTTTGACAGATCTATTAATGACATTACGTAGCAAGTAGGATTACTCAGAACCCTTAAATGCATCATTTGCACTCTTCGTTGCCTTAGAATACCTCTTAGGCAACGCATTATAACGGTGTTGGCATATGTCCTCTCAAGCAACAAAATATTGTAGTGTTGCAATTACAATCCTGCCTGAGGTCGTTCTTGTCGTAGTGAGGTCCATAGATTGTCAAGCCCGTGATCAGGTCTTGTCATGGCTCGTAAGAACTTTGCCTCTAAAATTTGGCATTCCTTCCATTGAATTAAGAGCTTGATTACTATGGCAGAGTTTAAGGAAACATTAAGACAGGACCAAGACAGAAGGGGGAGAATAATGAGAAAGGAAGGCATGTTTGTTGTGGGAGATGCATAGAATGAATGTGTCTTGAGTTCTAGGGTTTACGTAGAAGAAAGGGCAACTCTTCATCACCAAGAAAGGATGTGTGGAAGTTTCCTTAGGGTATAAGCCTTTGCTTTCGCTTGAGCGCTTGATATGGAGGTGAGCACATGAGGGAGATGGCATGATCTTCAATGTCTTTTCCACTGCTCCTTTCTTGTTCATGGACTCTTCTTAAAAAGGTTAACTTAATAATTTCACACCCAAGCTTGCTAATTGAGGCCAGAAATTTAGTTTAGGTTTTTCTTTTATTGGGTGGTTTAAACCACAGTATAACAGATAAAATTGGGACCTTTTAAAATAATGAGAAGGTGTATTATGTAGCCGATTTGCCGATATCCTAATTTGAGATATCAACAATCCATGAGGTATTTGGTCTTATTACAAACTTCAAGCATGAGATGGGAAAAAGAATCATCCAATGCAAACTTGTACAAGTGATTGGTTGGATGTTTTTGTGGATGACATGTTGATGTGAATATGTCGTCCAATACCATCGTTCCGTGAGATAGCTAGTTTGCGACTAAATTTTCTATATATAATACCTTAATTAGTGCCTTAAATGGCCTTTAGGAAGTAAGCGGTCGGGCATATGATTTGGATGCAGTGGATTCCATATTCTAATTACAATATCTCACACTCGTTATAACTTAGGAGGTCATGTTTCCCGTGGGCAAAACCTTGTCCAAAAAAATTGATCTCTGATCCATTAAGCCTTAAGTTGGGACGGGGTTACTGGGCTACGGGTCTACTGTGAAGAAGTGCTCGTGATCTTTGAATGGATAGAGAGCAACCCTGTTTCTTGTTTACTTCTGCGTCGACGTACTTCACAAGGCATTGTTCAGGAAGAAGAAAACAAGGTCAACCAAGCGACCCTATACAATTTGACCCTGTTTACACCAAAATCGGCATGGATGTCACGTCGGTTTAATGTCAAAATCCGATGGACAATGGAGCTCAGTCGTAGTACGTTTGGATAAAATTCGGGAATGTAGTAAGCGTGAGTGGCACCATGTCCCGAACTCGTGGATGGAGAATCGGTAATTTTACCGAAACATGAAAAGTTTACATTTCGGGAAATGTTGAAGCTACCGAAAATCGGCAAGATCACAACCCAGTCACGTGAATCGTGACAACAGGAAGTTATGAGCAAGAAGTGGAGATAGTAAATACGAGCAGATCGTGGGAGATCATTTATCCAAATTGGAAGTTATCCCAGCAATTGAGATCAAGTTTTGGTGGACAATGAAATTGGAAAACGTGGGTAGATAAGGCAGTTATTGAAAGCGCCAAAATTCAAAGTTCGAAAACAAAGAAGTAACCGACAAGCAGTTACAGGGTAGGAGGAGATATACGTACTCAGAGGAAAGAAGAAGAAAAAACACACACAAGAATGCAAAAACACTCAAGTTTATATGCACTTTAGTTTCATTTGCACTTTTACTTCCCGCGTTTGACTTCCCGTAGCTTTAGTTAACCTTCAAGCCCTTTACCGCTTTCGTAGGAGTATTGTAACGTAGCTTGGAACTCGTTGATCCCAGATCCATTTTCAATCCACTCAATT